ACTTAAAATTTTACGTTTAGTACATTGACTTACAATTATATGGACGTCGGGTCCGCGCTAAAAAGTGTCCGCAATTGTAAGGCGGTAAAATCGTATACAGAGTGCCAAACTCCGCTTTAGTCTTCATTTGTTCTACTGACAGCGCGATACTGTGATGACATTACAATTTAAATTTCGAATAGGTTGACTTGGGACATTTTTTTCGTGGTTTTTGTATTAGACCCGTCGTCCATTTATTTCTAAGTCAATGGTTTAGTACCTAAATTTATTACCTATGTTGTGTAAAAAGACGTGGAATAAATGTTGTTGTTTAAGCTATTAGTCATATAGTCCTGCGAGACTGTTTGTATTTTACAAATAACCCTGAACAATCGAAATTCCTTTGGCCCTTTGACATTGTGCTGTTAATAACTAGTACTGTATACCACGCTAAAGAAAATCAACAAAATATCATAATAAATATTATTGATTGATGATAATGATACTTAAATTCTCCGTATTAATTGTTAATTATTTACACCGTTAGATAAACGTTTAAGAAATAACACTTACGCCTAAAATTTCATTAAGTACATAATTACAGTTCCTGGTTGTGACTAAATTATAATTCACCGTTAAGTAATGGATTTATGCGTATATAAATAGAAGAAAAATTAACAAAGTACTTGTTTGACTATCCTGCTCCTGAAAGCAGTGAAGTAATACGAGAATTATGTTGGTAAAAATTATAGTGTAAAAAATTTAAAATATGAAAAGTACCTTACTTCTGTGTGGTGTTATTTTGGCTGTATTTGTGTCATGCTTAAGTACGTATGTGTCCATTTTACCCGACTGCGGAAAGGTTGTGTTTTTCGAGTGTATGTATGTATGTCCATTTCTATGTTTACCTGTATAGCATAAACGGGTTGATGGTTTTTGATATATTAGGTGTCGTTAGATTCGTCTTGATTATGGGAGTGTTACAAGGTATAAAAAAATTAAAATAGTGAGGGGGTCAAGCAAGTTAATTTTTATATCTTCCCATCTAAATATTTTTGCAGTCGGGTTTTTGTTATTTTAAATAAATTTTAGATTTGTTTACGATGGAAATAATAGCGGCTATCGACGCTAATGTGCTGTAACCCACATTTAATTTTTTCCTACCATTTGACGTTAAATGATACTAAGTACATAATTGTGTCAATATAATAAATAAATATAATTAATTATAATAATTTCGTCATCATTCCTGATTTCACCCACTGCTGGGTATAGGCTTCCAATTTCTTGTGTTAATCACCACGATCCTGCGCTCCACCACCACCACGCTCACCACGCGTCTCACCCCGGTTCGCCCCGCAATGCTTGCGATGTCATCTGCCTAACTTGCCGCTGGACGCCTTACATTTCTGTACCCTGGTCCTTAGACGCCACTCAGTCGTCGCCTTACTTTTTTTAGATTTATTTGGGTCAACAAACAGTAGACACAATTAAAACTTATAATTTTTTTTTCAGTATATTGATTGTGTCAACAATGCCATTAACTATTAATTACTGTAAAGAACTGAGAACGGGTGATGCCTTTCTAATAAACAACTAAAGAATAAATAATTAAAATAATCTCAGCACAGAGTACTAAAAAAACCGACCTCAAAACTACGTGGAATTAAGTCTACTTGCTAAGATTTATTGAAATATCCACTAGTTCGCCACTATACAGGACTTGACACTGGAGATAATAAAAATAGGTTCTCACTACGACACTACACAAAGTATATTGAGAGAAAAACGCCTTGAATTGGAGAAACAGCAAAATCAACCATTAAAGTAATTGCTTCTAAATTAAAGTTAGGCGCTATTTATTAAAATGAATCTTCATGCGTGAACAGCCACCCTTAGAGGTTGATGATTTTCTTCAAAATGAAATGGGACCACTATATAAGTACCCCCTTTCCAACAAAAAAAGAATCATGAAAATCGGTTCACAAATACCGGAGTTAGCGCGTAACGTACATACAAAAAAAAAGAAAAAAAAGAACATACAGTCGAATTGAGAACCTCCTCCTTTTTTGAAGTCGGTTAAAATAGTTGTGTACACTACAAACCAACAAAACATTTGATACAAAAAAAAAGAATTTCTACATAAGTACGTATGGGTTATACACATAACAAGTTGTTTTATTGTATTGTATGACATAAGATTCCAATGCTAATAAATTAAAATAAAACAATAATAATAATATTTTAGGCCTTGGGAGTGACAAGAATCTAAAATAGATATCCAAAATAAATAACTTCCATCGAGTTTAATAACCAGAAATAGAGACGAAATGTCATTTATTTTGTTATAAAACTATTCTGCCACATGACAACTACTGACTGCGCTCCGATTGACTAGCTTGAATTCGAAATATACAATAGAGTTGGGTAAGCTGATATTATATTATCGAAATCGATAGTCAAGATATATATATATATATATATATATATATATATATATATATACACGACTGACCAAACAAAGGAGCGTAATGTTTTCAAGGTTAATGTAATATGTAACGAAATATCGCTTATAGATTCCTTTGTAATTTCTGATTTCTGTTTTAACCGATTTCGAATTGTGTAGTATTGTTAGGATCCATAGTCATTCCGAAAGAGCATGGCATTGGGTATCAAAAAATGTCAAAACACACAATGTTGTACTGACAGCAAACAAAAAAAAAATAAAATAAAATAAATTTTTAGTTTACTTTGTAAGAGCACAGGGGCAGCCGTGTTCTTAATGTAATTTTGTTTAAATTCGATTTTATTATGCAATGAACTAGAAATAAAAAATAACTTCATATATCTATAAGCAAGTTTAAAATTAACTTTTAAAGCACATCAATGCAGGTAGAAAAATGTCTACAGAGTTGAAGTGGGTCAATACCTAAAGTTTTTTATGTGCGTATTGGCGACAGGCTGAAGGCACTTTCATTGGTTTTTTCTTCCGTGGCCAACTTCCTTGAAGTACCTTAAGCTTCAATAACTTTCGGAACCGCTGTCACCAAAACGCATACAAACAAATGGTAAAAACTATGAAATCTTGATAATGATTGGTCACAGTTTCTAATATAACAATATGTAACAAATTCTGGATTGTTAATATAATTTAAACTGTACCCAGTCGCTATATCGTTGAAAGTCCAATATCTTTACTGCAAGTTTGATTTTATATTGAAATTTTATTCAACGTGCTGCCATCTTGCGGCCAGTAGCTGGACTACGACGAACGATTAACATCTAGGTGTCTACTCTCGATCTCCGTCCGACAACCGTTTGAAACAATTACTGTCAAATAAGCAATACTTGTCTTTTAATTTGGTCGAATATAACTTATTTCACAGTAATTGTTTCGTACAAATATCGGACCGTGAACGAGAGTAGACCCCCTGAACGAATAGAAAATAGTGCGTACTTTAAGAGGGAGCAGAGGAAAAATTCCTAATCTTCGATTTGATTTTAGAGGGGTATATCCATTTAAACTTAAAAATAAAATATTGTATGAGTAACTACACGATATATTCAAGCATAGACATTAATCAGAAACATAAAACAATAAAGTTTCCTCGATAGATAAAAATCACGATATGACCTCTAATTTTCACATTTTTTCGATTTATCCTCGAAATGCTATAGGTTATTAGGACAAAAATTAGATAATTAATTATATTTATGCATGATCGACAACTGTCACTACGGTTTTTTTTAATCCCTTAAGTTTTAGAGTTATTCCGCTAAAACGAATTTGGTACTTTTAATGCGCAAAATTCAACATCTCCTGTCGCATGACACGCGAACTTCAGGCATATATTTGTTTCGCAATTTGGGCGGAGCCAACGTCAAAAGTTTTTTGGCATCAGAGCTCTTAACGTACAAATTTCATAATGGAGTTTAATTCGATCAATTAAGTTTAAAATTAATAAAACATTCATGAAGCATTTTTTGCTAAACTTTTGTTCGCTACTGGCGTGAAAAATCGAGGTGTTTATTTAGTTCTCCAAAACATAAAATTCGATCACATTGCTGTGGAATAATGTTTACCACAGACACACAACCATGACATTAAAAACGAAAATGGCGGTTCGAGCTCAAGTAGGTCTAACGAGACCTAATGTTGTTATGCGTAGGACGCTAACTAACCACTTCTACTGTATTTGTTGTTCTGTGGTATTCGCGAACGTATTTCAGCGTTTGTGCGACATGCAGTGGTAGCAAATAGTGGATATGCTTTGCGTCCTGATAGTGCGTTCTAACAGAGACTCTGTAACGTAGTTTATTGTAACGAGATTTACAGTCGTATCAACCATGGCACAAGTCGTAAAGCAATATGGTTTCCAACTGTAAATGTCTTAGTTTCAGTGTAAGCAAATTATATATTTAAAAAAAAATTCGAACGAAATTTTAAGAAAGTTGCATGTAGCAAGCATTTTTAACAGATTCTACGTAGAAATTTCTTTTGAACAGATTCGAGGGCTTCATTATATTTATTGTATATGGGATTCCAAATAGGTAGAACATACTCAAGTTGAGAGCGCATTAGTGACGTGTATTCTACACGTAAACTTTAAGATCGTCGGCGTATAAAAAAAATGGCAAAATTTTAAACACAAATGAATATCGTTTATAAGCAAGATAAACAACAAGGGACCGATTACCGAGCCCTGCGGTACTTATATAAATCATTACTTTATGTATTTTCATTAATTTCATATTCGGTATAATACATACAAACGTTTAAACGTTCCATTTGTTGCTGTTATTATTACAGTAACAAACATGATTTTTATGCGACAATAATATTTTTAGGTGTGAAACAGTAATGTCACAAAAACTGTGATGAAGTGAATTCATAATAGGCAAAAATGAGCACCACAGATTTGAGGCAATTAAGTTGTTTTTGAATTTTTTTTAAGTCTTAAAGACCGTAATAGTTCTGATTTTCTTTTCAGATACCAGCGAATTTCGACGTGATGATGATGATGACTATGATGATGAACAATTCGGAACACATTATGAGTATTATTATCAACAAGTACCAGCTAATTGGCGAGAGGCAAGACTGAGATGTCATCTGAACGGTAGATCATTTCTCTAATTACGTTTTAATTATGACAGTAAAAAAATACTTTTTAATTATTTTTAATAAACAAACGATGTTACTCCGTTTTGTAATAATGTCAAAAGATCTGAAGGAAATAAGATTGAAAAAGATGCCACAAGACTAATGAATCTGACGTGCTTTAGTTGGTCAAAGTATTGATTTATAAATGAATGATGTCGGTTTTTGACTTAACACATGTTAATCTGTCGATCCCAGATACATAATATAATTTTTCAACAATGTGATAGGCAGTAACGCCGCTTATCTTACCATAACATACCATACTCCTTTTGCTTGTTTTATTTGTTTATTTTATTTTATCCATCTTTTTACATAACGCATGGAGGCAAAGTTCCAAAACTTTTTACATTAGTATTTTAATGGGTTATATTTCGGGAAGTGTGCGTAGGTTTTTTTTATGATATTAAGTGACGCGACAAACAAATGCGCCTGGTGGTAAGTAACTCGCCTACCTATAACAATTAAGTGCCATTTAGAGTTTTAAATTGCAAAGACCTATGCGTCCACTACCTGCCCTGAGGCATTATGTTGGTAAGTCTATGCCTGTACTGCTTAAACCTGCGCAGAGGTAGCGATACGTAATTGCGAAATAATTGCGTTCGTTATTGCTAAAGCTGTAGTAATGAAATTAATGTATAAGATATTTTAAGGATTCACTCTATAAATCATACACTTTAGAAACTCAATTACTTGTATTTTCCTCGATAGATAAAAAATCTGAAGTTGTCTCTAAAAACCAAAATAAATCTTAGTACGGCGTAAATAATTCACGGAAAGTTCTGACGAACCTTTTTAAAAAATAACAAAACGACATGTTGTGTATTACGTAAACAATTTTCCTTGTTTCAAATGTGTATTTGTTTTAAATACGAAGGAAACACCTAAATTCGCACGTAGTCCGCCCATACTAGCCAGAGCCGCCATGCTTCCCTCCTGTCCGCCCGCTTTAGTTCTGATTCGGACGGGGAGGTTGTGTCGCTTGGTATGCACGGCTCTCAAACATGTGCCTCATGCATACATACACGGAACGCATAGAATACTTAAAATCAATAAGCGATAGAAGCTCGGTGCCGTCTTAACGGCACAAATAGATGTGGTGGCAGTGTTTCCCTGGACACTCATTTTCACAAGGACTTCAATTTTTATACTAAGTATTACGCCACGTAACTTGCGCTTGTAAGAGAACATATGCCCAAACAAGCTTATGATATATTTATTATCTTTATTAAATATTTCTTCGATATTTTTATTATTTAAGTATACTAGTTTTTATATTTTTTCATCGTCTGTAGTGTCGTTTGCGGTACACAAATACGATCGAGAACACATCCAGCCGTGTTGTAAATCCATGACCAGTCGTTTGAATTTGACACTAAGGCAGTTTCCGATTGGGGCATTGCCAATCTTGTCAAAGTCAATGCTAACAAAACACAGGCACGTCTATTCTCCACAAAACGGAGTCCTTTGACCTAACTCCGACTTTTCGCGGTATATCCATACCGATAGCTATCCACCTCCATCTACTTGGAATGAATCTGTCGTCTAATATGAACTTCGGTAGATACATAGAATCCATGGCCAAAAATGCAGGCAGGAAGCTTTGCATCCTATCCATGGTGAGGCGTTACTTTACACCGGGACAGTTGTTATAGCTGTACCAAGCACAAGTGTATGGAATATTGCTACTACCTATAGAATGTTTCTGCTAAATACCAGCTGGCTACGGTGCATTCAATTGACAGGCGTGGTAAGAGGCTTATGCACCCATGGGAAGCACTGCACCTTTGTATCTACTAAATCTGAGTCACCACTCCGAATTAGTAAAGGCAAAGCTGCAATGCCTTGAATACCGCCGTAAAGTTGCATGTTTATCGGTATTGTACAGGATATATTTGGAGAGTGGGCAACGGAATTGCATAATTTAATTCCACCTTCCCCTTTCCGTCACCGGGGGACTAGATGTAAGGCTTGAGTGCCACCCCTACGTTGGGGATATTCGAAGGATTCGCACGAAGCACGAAGGATTCCACATTTATATGGCGGACGGCTATGCAGTGGAATTCCCTGCCTACAGACTTGTTCCCTGAACGTTATAACTTGGGGCTTTTCTAGACAAGAGTAAATAGGCATTGTTTAGGTGTGCATGCTCTATTGTCCACCCCATTGTCACTTTCCATCAGGTAAGATGGAGGTCAAATGTGCAATGTGAAAGTGAAAATAATATGAGGCATAACTTAAATAGAACATTACACAGCTTGACATTTCATTATAGTAAATTTCATTTTATAGATACTAATAATTGTATTAGTAAATTTTTTATTTGACTAAACTTTACTAGTTGTTTTAGGGGACAGCAGAATTGCTATCATATTATATTAATAGTACAGCCAAATCGTTGGCTATCAGACCGGCTGCTTCTATTGAGCAGTCCATTGACGTAGGTCAGGGACGAACAAGTTTAATGACATTAATCAGTCTGTTGAAAATAACTCAATTTCCAATTATTTAAATTAATTAATAAGGCAACGAAGATATACTGTTGCAACGCAGTAACAGTAAACAACCAACCTAAAATACATAAAAATTAACTAAATTGTATATTAAACCTTGTGCACCAAAATATTCAAGACACGAAAGGCAAAGAGTTAGAAATATAATTATTTATTAACTGTAATAATATTGATATCTTTGTATTGCTGAGCACCACTTTTTATCTAAACATCAGTTCATGTTTAGCTTCAACAATCACTAGGTGGCTAGTTCGTTCAATAGAGAAAAAGCTATTCATGGTGCCTCTTTAATACGTAATAAAAATAATTTAAAATTTAAAGATCATACAGATATTGTAAGTCTATTTATTGAGCGCACTATAGAGATATCCTGCATATACCTTGAACGACTTGTTATATTAAGCGTGATATACCCCCATGTTCATTTTACGAATTATTTTGAAAGAAGAAGAAATTTGAAAAAAGACTAGACGAACTTTTAGACAAATTAAATAACCTAAATAAATATATTGCTAGTAGTAGGCTCGTACAATTTTTTGAGTGTTATAATCTTGTGAATCCTTTTTTGGTGCCAACTGGAATAACTTCTGCTACAGCTACTTGTTTAGACAACATATTTACGTACGGTGTTCGTAATAAATCTATTATGAATAAATTAACGTCAGATAATTGTGGTTAATTGGCCACTTTTAATATGACGGTTGTAAAAGGTCAAAAGCGGACATAACATGTGTTCCAATAAATAAGGGTCGACTTAAAGCTTATAGCAACAATGTAATGGTTAAACTACCCGACATTCCGCACTGTGACGATCCCAATGAATTATATAATTCAGTTTTTGAAGTGAAAACTGAACGTGTTAATATTTTTAAGTCTTAAATCATAACCATTAATAATTCATTGAAATTTAGTGCTTAGACGAGCGTGGGCATTCATAAAAGTAGATAAAGGCTATATGAACTTTACTATGAAAGGACCTATAACGCTAGTGACAGTTTTAAGGATTTTGTTGAAAGTACTCGAAAATGTTCAAGCGTGTTTATGTTGCCGCTAAAGCAATGATTATAAACAATAAAATTAAAAACAGTGCAGATGTCGTAACCGCTCACGCGATGCGTTCCTCCTACCGCAAAATGGCGGCTATCTGGTTTCGCAAATTAGAAAAGCATTTAGTTTAAATACAAGTTTTTATAAATAAAAATTATTATTCTGCATTGCTAAATAAATACCCTCCGTACTACCAACAAAAACATCTCAAATAAAATGCAGTAATACACCGCAAATCCTGCACTTAAAAAGTACTAATGAAATTTTTGGTGTACTTGGATAAATATGATAATATTCCGTTTGAGTGTTTCTAACGTTTATCATGAAATTACTCCTTAAAGTATAGTTTATAAACATTTATATTCAGGGTAAACTTAAAAAACGCTACTTACGGTATGTTTTCAATAAATAAACACCGAAATCACCAGCCCAAACAATAACACACACGATTGTCGTGACGTATTTTTGAAGTTGTTTATTTTTTTTAAATGACAGACCCGTGCATTAAAAACTTTATGGTTTGCTAGAGTAGTTACGGAAATAGCAATTAATATTAGTTCCTTTACCTGTTATAACTTCGATATCCGATAAATCGATATAAAATCATCACCGGAACCTCTAGGTGTGGTATGCGTCTACGGCTGCATGTATCGCGTGAGCGGGTAAGGAATCGGTTGGAATATTATAAACAGCAAAACTGGAAGAGTTAAACCTCGTTATTTAGATTTTCAACTGACATTTGATGACAAAATTGTAAATACGGATGCAGAAGTTGCTAATATTATGTATGAAAAATTTTCTACTAAGTCGTTAAATTCGTCTTCCACTACCGCTAAATCTTTCCTAAAAGATATTGGAGTTAGTCTTACTAATTTAAAGTTCCGTCACGTACTTCCAAACGACTTTGTTAAGGCACTTAAATCGATAGACATTAAAATACTGCTGATCTTGATAGTCTTTCTGTCACAGTAAATAGTTCCGTAGGTGATTGTATATTATCTTACTTAGCTTGCGTTTCTAACAAATGCGTTGACGATGGTATGTTTCCTGACCTCATGAAGCAAAGTAAAGCTATCCCATTTTTTAAATGGGATAGCTCTGGTTGTAATTCCGACCCCACCAATTTCAGACCTATTTCAATACCAACTCTCAGTAAAATATTTGATAAAATATTCTAAATCAGATGTGTGCACATTTCTTCATTGATAATTAAATGTCTCCTAAACAATTTGGTTTCACTCGGGGCCGCTCTACAACCGATGCTGGTGTGGAATTGATAAAACATGCAATTGGTGCATGCGAGGACTCATATGAAGCTATTGGTGTATTGTGGGACCGTTCCAAAGCTTTTGATTGTGTGCACCATGATAATCTGGTCAGGAAACTTCGTCATTGTGGTATGGTGGGCCATGATCTCGCCCTTCTTAATTTATATTTGGGTGGGAGGCTACAGAGGGTCGATGTCAACGGTATGAGATCATCAGGGTCTGCAATTACCATGGGCGTCCCTCAAGGTTCGATTCTAGGTCGATTTTTGTTTTTAGTTTGTATGAATGACTTACCTAGAATCGTGGAGATTATGAATATGAAGATTATAGAACGTGAGATAATATTGTTTTCTGATGATACTTCCTTATTATTTATTGTTAAAAGGTTGTTCCTATGACGATGTGAACAATGCCATATTTAAAGTAGTAAATTGGTTTGCAGTTAATAACTTGCTCCTTAGTAAAAAAAATACAAATTGAGTGAAATACTTTACCCAATGTTAGACAGACGAACACAAACATTACAGTTAAAAACGAAAAATTGAACGTTGTGGATACAGTTGTATTTCTACGTATAACTTTAGATGCTAAATGGCAATGGGGTCCACGTATAAATATTTTATCAAAATTGCTCAGCTCTGCAGTGTACGCGATAAAAAAAATTTTCAGACGTCGAAATAGCTAGATTGCTTTTAGCATTTTGCTTTGGGGTTATGCCGCCGATACTAAAAAATCTTTGTCCTGAAGAAACGTGCGGTTAGGACTATTTCCAATCTAGGGCTCAGGGTGTCTTTGAGAGTAAGTTTAAAGGGATTAAAATTCTTACATTAACGTCACAGTACATTTATGAAAATGTTATTTGTCTTAAGAAAATATTAATTTTTTTATGAAAAATAGTGACATATTTATTAATACGAGGAATAAAAATAAACTAGCTGTTCTTGACAGTCGTCGTCATAAAGCCAGTTGGTATATTTATAAAGAGCAACTTCTACACTTTCTTGCTCATTCTTTTCAGGGGAATCTGCCTTACGAATGAGCAGTAGAGTTTTAATCAGTATGCCGATTCCAAATGTAATTTGCTTATCCCGAACTCTGGCAGAATTGTACTTAGTGGCACAGAAGCCAAAACAACAAAAAAATAATTTGCTTATCTATGAAATAAAGATTATTTAATTTTGACTTATATTTTGTAAAAAAGGAACAATTATGAAGTTTATTTATCTTTCTCATCTTCTTTCACACAATGATGTGCATTTAGAACTTCTCCTTTAAGTTGACATTTTTGTCATTGTATTGTATTTCTGTTATTTTTACAGGATCAAAGCTAGCGTCTCCTCTGAATTCAAGATTCGTGAAAAACATGAAAAATTTGGCAAAGACTAGTGTTCATGGAGTTTTTACGGGTATTCACTCTACATTTTCCAGAGGCGACTATTTTTCCGTGGAAGGTACAATTTAGCTCAAAAGTATGTTTCGGAGTCATTTTATACAAGCAACTTTATACTGTAATTTGGTTATTATGTCGTTTAGGTGTTCCTCTTGCTAAGATTACTCACGTCTGGAGCAAAGGCGAGCCCGACAATGATCAGGATCGAGAAGGTTGCATAGTAATGTCTGCTGATGGCACTTTTGCTGACAAGAATTGTTCAGGGACTTTCCCGTACATATGTTATAAGAAATTCTCAAAAAGAACTGTATGCGGCACTTCGGATCTATGTAAGTTAATTTTCTCCAATAAAATAGATCGACTATAATGTGACAAATCTAATTAATAATAATTTAGTTTAATTAAATTAATATTAATTTAGTTCAACTTCAAAAGAATATTCAAAAAGTATGGCATTACTAAATATCGGATCACCTGTGTATATTTAATTTTTATACTCTTACCAATATTTTAGAAACAAATCTACTTACAATTTATATATCCTATCTAGGGTAACGTAATGTCGGTGCTAGTAATGTAATTTCATTTTCTACAATTTTGGAATGATGTTACAAGGAATCATCTTCTTCAGTTTAATATACTTTATTAGGTTCTTAGGTTTTAATGATTTTCTGTGATTGCAGCCTACATTCTGGATAATAGAACCGGCAGTTGTTACAAGTTCCATCAGTTCCCTCGTACCTGGTCTCGAGCTTACATGACCTGTGCTGCCGAAAACGCATATCTTGCAGTCATCAACTCTGAAACCGAAGGAAAGGCGTTGGGTGAATTGTTCTTGAAAAAGGGAAAACCTTTACCATATTCTGGTGAATACTACTGGGATACCGCCCATATTGGATTCCATGATTGGGGCGAACATGGCGGACAATGGATTACTGTTCATGGTATGATATACTACTCTATGATGTACAATAAACTAATAGTTATCAACATACAGAGTCAATCCAGTATTACAAAAAATTCTCGTCTTTGTTATTTTGTGTCACAACGTGATTAATTGCCTTTACACAGAAACCCTACCTAGCTACTAGAACCCTTGGAGCTTTCTTTATTTGCGAGTTGAGTTCTTTTCATATTACTGTTACAATTGATTTAATTTTTAGATAAGAAAATATTGCCCACATATTGTATTACTACCTATGCCAAACGCCACTTCATACATGTACTATGGCACTGGAACTCCTGGATTTGAAATTGTATATATTTTACCTTGTTTGCCCAATTTTATTTTTAACTGAGCATATTTATTATAACTTTATTAATATAAGATCCAATACAAAGAAAAATTCCTTCGATCTAACAAGACTCGAACCTGCTTCTGTGGCAGACTATGACAGCTACAGATTGAATTAGCAGAGCTTATGAATATCTTTAATTGTATGTTATCGATCTTTTGGATAGAGCTTTGTTTTGGCTTTTTATCCATGAAGCTTCTCACTCAGCCCGTGCCTTTACAACCACCAAAGTCTGATGTGAGATGTAATAATAATAATAATCTAAAATAATAATAATAAAATAATAAAAGAGATCGCTATAACAATAATAATTTATTCAGTACAACAACAGTAATACCATAGATGACAAAAATACATACAATTTATGGTTGTACCTACATAAACTGACAGAAAAACAGTGGACAGGCCATCAATCAGTTCACAAGCTATAGTTATGTGTCTTCGTAGTTTTCGGGAGTTGGGGATCTTCTTTATTTCAACGACGCAGAAACGTAGGTTTGAGGAACATCTGCTGTTTTATTGTGTTTACAACTTACAACTGAAAATACAACAAGGTATGCCGTACCTCAAGCGATTCTGCTCAAGCTTGTGTTCTGGTTCCTGGTTAAGTATGAACTGCCGCATTGGCACCGGTGTGTGACACTTTATACCAGCCCGTGAGGGTGGGATCGCGTCATTAAGTAGACCCTTGAGAATGTTCTGGAGTCTCGCTTGTCGCGAGGACGCTATTTAAGATAAGTTGCTTTCTGCTACGTTTCAGTTATCACCAGGATGCCATTAAGATAGAGATGCTGTCCAGGAATGTGCTTTGTATTGATGCAAAAACTATTATCTTATGGTTATTTATTGCGTCCCAAGATAACGCTGCCATTATCGAGTTCTGGTATGCATCAGATGTTAGATTCGTATGATGTAATGGTGCAATTAGAGTTCCTTATTGATTATGGGTCTTGGCGCTGTTGGTGGTCATTCCTTAGCTCTTTATTAATTGTAATATTGATTTTAATTGAATATGTAATGATATTCATTTGTTACATTACTCTACTAGTTTGTTGTAATATTTATTTTTATTTTATGTATTTGGAAAACATACAGCACCATGTAATACATTTCATTATTAGCACATATCAAGGAAACTCTAGCCAAATAAAACAGATTCCCTAATGTTTAAAACAAGTTGGGTTGTATATTATACAAATTCATACGTTGCTGTAACCAGGCAACAACTAACATGACAATTACCACCAGCAACAAAAAAAATCACTTTTAATTATAATTTAAATTTATTGAATTAACTACCTTGATATTCAATTAGGTATGTTATGTGAAAGTACTCCACTAGTTTCTTATAATTATTAATACAAAGATCGAACACTGAGAAAATTCCATCGATCGATTAATTATGTTAATAAAATTAAGTACATTTTTCAGGTGACAACCTTAAAGATGCTGGCTACGACAAGTTCAACCCTGGAGAGCCAAACAACTACAGTATCTATTTCATGAATAGCATTATGTACGAGTTTTGCGGCGGGATAACTAAAGTAGGTACCCTGGACGACATGTGGTGTGAACGCAGAGCGCAATTCATTTGTGAAATGCAACCTGAGGACTTCTTGTCTTCTGATGAGGATTGATTATTGCTTTTTCACTCAGGGTTGGACCCCACTTGTTAGCATGCTTCTGTGTACTGGATATAAAATTTAAATGCTAATACGTGTGTTTCTTTTTTAATTTAGAACGATTAACAACCAGTGGTTATGAAATAATATCTACATGAAGGCTATTTTCCGAAGTCACTTATATATCGATAATTATCTTTATAAATTTACATTAATGTTGTTATTTGGTGATAGTGATATTTGGTTCAACTATTATAAACAGCTAATTGTAAGCCCAAAATGTTTCCCCATGCATGGTTTATATGCTTTGGAGAATAGGAGAATCTCCCATGCCGAAAACACAGATCTGTTACTTAGTTTAGCGGTACGAGTCATAGTTTCATTATAATTGTGTTGAACCTTAAATTTTTTTAACTTATATTTTGTTTAGGGGTATATACGAAATAAATAATTGTAACTTTTTCAAGTACAAAGATCCGACAACAAGCACATAGAAAAATTCTTTATGTCCGCTGATTCGATCCGTGGCTTAGTTGGCATAGCATCTGACACGGTTTGCTGGAAGACGTCGGTTCGTATCGGGCCAGATCGAAGGAATTTTTCTAAGTGTTCGATCTTTGTATTAATAAATATAACAAACTAGTGGAGTAATTTCACAAAAAATAATTGAATAGGTACCATGGTGGTGAAACATCCTGACATTCAATAAAAACTTAACTTAATTACAATGAATAGTGACATCTCTAGCCAGGGCTGGTAGCTGTAAAGATATCTAACTGGGCGACGAAATACTTTCATAGATTTCTCTTAGATGGCGCTACGGCTAAAAAGTTGTTAAAATCCAAGTACAAAGATCCGACAACAAGGACATAGAAAAATTCATGAGGTTCGCTGGTTCGTTCCATGGCATACTTCGCATAGCGTCTGGCACGGTTTGGTGGAAGACGTCGGTTCTAATCCGGCCGGATTGAAGGATGTGTTCGATCTTTGTATTAATAATTATAACAAACTAGTGGAGTAATTTCACAAAAAATAATTGAACGTGCAATAAAACCTTAACTTAATTCTAACTTCAAAAAAAAACAGACCTCATAAGTTTGTGAAATTGCATTTATTTGCCAAGTTTTATTGGAATCAGTTAACGAAAAATGGGTGAAATCCAATAAACCAATTTTATCCCCTAATATGATGCCAGCCTTAGAGGTGGAATATTTTTTTCAAATTGAATGGGTCTGAGTTCTCCTTAAGCAACAAAAAAAATCGGTTCACAAATTTTAATTTCGAAGTAATCGCGTACCTAGACAAAAAAATACAGTCGAATTAAGAACCTTTGTTTGAAGTTGGTTGAAAATATATTACTTGGTAGTTGGTTCTTGGTGTAATGGGCTGGTGTCCGAATATAATATATTGTCTCGGATATCTATTTAAGACTCACGCTTCTATCGCGTAATCGATATATTTTGTACTTTTAAATGGGATAGGAAGCACATTACGAGTATAATTACTTACTAGTTTTTTATTTAATACTTATGTCATGTTCTGGATCTGCCATTTCCGTTCTATTATCACGCTAAAGTTCATCTAATGTAATACCAAAAATAAATGTACATAGTTCGGTAAGCATTTATTTCACAATTTGAATAAATCAAGATCTCTTGCAAGACTACGTCAAAATTAAAATTCAACTATATGCTGCTGACGATAGAAACGGTCCAAACTTCAAAGTGTCAAGCTTGATGTGCTTTTTGTTGTACGTGTTTGGGTTCTTCGCTTACAGGGTAAATAAATAATCAACCCTCTCCCCTGTAGGGATCTGGGAAGTAAAACGTGTAATATCAAAAATAAATACAGTTCGGCAAGCATTTATTTCATCAAAGTGAATAAATCATGATATCTAGCAAGAGAACGTCAAAATTGACACTTAAAATTGAAGCTAGAGTTCGTCCAGGGTAGTTCTGCCATCTGACCAATTTCTGCTGCCAATCAGTAATGTCTGGTGAAATTACAGGCACATGGGACTTGTCAACTTATGTCTCAGCACCCTGAGACAGCTACCCTGCTTGTCACCACAAGCAGTGGTAGTGCCCCTGAGATCTTTACAATTTAAAGCTCTGAGCGGCACCGTAACTGTTAAGGACAGGCGTGTAACTTACTATCAGGCGTACGACTTGTTCGTTCCGTCTCTTGATATTATAAAAAAAACGTATAAGGAGTGATACTCTGAATTTTATATAAATTTGTACGTAAAAAAATATAATTCCATTCAACATTTTCAATATAATTATTATTACTATTAAGTCTAATATTTTTAGTATAGCTTCCGGCGTTCCTCAAGGGTCACATTTAGGGCCACTTCTCTTTAATATTTTCATAAACGATATTGCCGAGTGTTTTCGTTTTTCAATACCTTACTTATATGCAGATGATTTGAAATTCGCGAGAGTCGTTGAATCTCCTATGGATGTATCCCTGTTGCAAGCTGATATGGACAGACTGCAGTAGGAATGGTGATCTACTAAGCAGATGAGTCTTAATATTATTAACAAAGCTCACACATACAATTTTCAGGAAAACTAAATAATATTTATTCTAATTATAAAATTGACGGACATTTGCGGGAGGTGGATAGTATCAGAGATCTGGGTGTGTTGCTTGCCACCAAATTGACGTTCATACCTCAAACGGAAAAAATCATCAAAAGGTTCTTCCAAAGTTCTGGATTTTGTCAGAAGGAACGGAAAGGTATTCTGCTCTCCTGTTACAACTGCTGCCTCATTGTGCGAATCACATGTTGAGGCTTGAGCGAATACAAAAGAGATTTATCTGGCACTTAGCGTACTCAGTGGGGTTAGACAGAAAGTTGCGGTTGCAGAGAGGAGGGAACGAGCGTTCGTACTTATGCTGTCCACAACTGTTAGCTAAATTTAACTTCAAAATTCCCTCAAGATACCCTTATGTTTACTATTGATCCTTTCATTCTGTAAGACTGTTCTGGGCTTTAATTCCTGTATCCGAAAGCTCTGCAGACTATATAATAAGCACAGTCACGTTTGCGATATATTTTGGCAGTCGCTGCACAAATTTTGTATTAGTATTATGTTAAACATTAATTTTTTTTTCCCATCTAGTTTGATGCTGTCCGAGACCCTTGTTCACTTGTATTTATTGGTTTTGTTTGTATTACTTTTTTCTTTTTTTTTAAATTTAAGTAGCTGTTTTTAAATTCTATATAATTTACATTTTACGTTGCTTTTGCAAGCTGTGTTCTCTCATAAGTAGTAGTGCAATTTAGATAAGAACTTCACCAAATTGAATTTATAGTATGTTAGATTGTAATAACTGTAAGGGAACCAATAAAGTACAAAAAAAATTTGTAATTTTTGCGTTAGTAGCAGTAGAACTCTTTGTGAAAGAATTTGTCGAAGGAAGTACTGCCACCTTACCTATTTCTGTGTTTCGATTTGGTAGGGTAAGGGTGGTGATGAAATTACTGGCACATGGGACTTGTCAACTTATGTCTCAGGGTGACGGGCACAGGTGGCAGTGCCCCTCAGATCTTTGTGATTTAAAGCTCTGAGTGGCACTGTAACTGCTGTCGACAGGTGTATGGCTTAACACCAGGCGCACGACTTATTCGTCTCGTCACTTAGTATTATATAAAAAAATCAGATTATAACGGTCTTTAATTAAAAAAAAAAATATTTTTAAGGAATTCATTGCCATTACTAAGCCTCAAAACTATTGTGCTCATTATTTATTGCCTATTATTAATATTCCTTAGCACCAGTCTTCGGCGTTTTTATAAAATTATTGTTTGACACCTAAAAACATCATTGTCTCATACAAATTATGTTTATTACAGTAATATTAACAACAACAAATCGAACGTGTAAACGTTCTAGTTTTGTAGGGTAAGAGTGTTGGTGAAATTACAGGTGCAATGGACTTGTCAACTTACGTCACAGAGTGACGTAAGCAACCCGAAACCGACCCCGGGTTCAGATGTTACAAACCACCAGATCTTTACAATTCAAAGCTCTGAGTGGCACTGCAACTGCTATGGGCAGACGTGTCGCTTGCCCTCAGGCGAGTGTCTTATTTGTCTCGTCACTTGGTAACATAAAAAAGTTACATTTCCTTTATTCTAGCGATGCGTGAAAAATCACAACTATCTGATATATCGAGTTCTTAGGTTTTCGCAATTGATACACATAACACCCAAATCGCGAGTATGTATTTTGTTTTTTCAAACAAACAAAGATTTTTCAATTTGTATTGAATTGATCTTCAATAGTATTTTGTGAAATGACTCCACTAGTTTGTGATAATTATTAATACAAAAATCGAACACTTTTTGTGAAATTACTCCACTAGTGGAGAAATTTCACAAAAAATAATTGAATATCAATTCAATACAAATTTAAATACATTGAATAACGACGTCTCTAGCCGGGGCTGGTAGCTGTAAAGGTATCTAACTGGGTGACGAAATACTTTCATAGATTTCTTATAGATGGCGCTACGGCTAAAAAGTCTTTGAACACGGATACAAAGATACGACAAACAAGCACTTAGAAAAATTCCTGAGGTCCGCTGGTTCGTTCCGTGGCTTAGTTGGCATAGCGTCTGGCACGGGATCGAAGGAATTTTTTCTAAGTGTTTGATCTTTGTATTAATAAATATTTTGGTTTGGATCCGAATAATAATTTCATTTCCAATTATCTGATGATTATTGTATATATATTCGGTAATTATCCATGTTGAGTCCTAGATTCTTTTCTTCCATTTTTTTATAAAATTGACAGTAAGAAAACTAAATAAACACGAAGAAAAATCTTTGGGAAATGTATTTGATTTGTCACTTTTTTTAATTGACATTTGACGAGTTTAGATACTTCTCTGATACAAACACATAGCACGATATTGCTAGAGTTGGCATTTTGTTGTTTCAATTAATTTTATAAACGTCAATATCAATTAATATTTATACCGACAATTATCGATGTATAAATGTCCTCGGAGAATAACCTTCGCTGATATTCTTTCATAGCCACTGTTTTAAACGTTATAAATTTAAAAAAAACGCACGTATTAGCATCGGATCTATATTCAATATAAATTTTATATACAGCATGCAGAAGCATGCTAAAAAGTGGGGTTCAACCTTAAATGAAAATGAAAAATCAATCTTCATCAACATACAATAAGTCCTTGACGCTCACGTCCTTTTCACAAATGAATTGCGCTCGGCGTTCGCACCACATATCGTCCAGTGTGCCTACTTTAGTTATCCCGCCGCAAAACTGGTACATAATACTATTCATGAAATTGATACTGTAGTTATTGGGCTCTCCAGGTTGGAACTTGTCGTAGCCAGCATCTTTAAGGTTGTCACCTGCAAAAAGTACTTATAATAAATATTGAAAAATATTATTATACAAACTAGAGTAGTAATTTCACAAATGAATATTATCACGATATTATGAAGTGGCGTTTTGCATGGTTAGCAATACAATTTGTGGGCAATATTTTCTTACTCTAAAAAGGAAACCAATTGTATGTAGTAACTAGGTAATATGAAAAGAGCTCAACTCACAAATAAAGGAAGAACCGAGAGTTCTAGTAGCTGGTAGGATTTCTAGGTAAAGACAATTAATCATGTTGCTACACAAATAACGAAGACGAGAATTTTCTGCATTATTGGATTGACTCTGTATGTTGGTAAGTATTAGTTTATTGAATATCATATAATAGTATATCATACCATGAATAGTAATCCATTGTCCGCCATGTTCGCCCCAATCATGGAATCCAATATGGGCGGTATCCCAGTAGTATTGACCAGAATACGGCAAAGGTTTTCCCTTTTTCAAGAACAATTCACCCAACGCCTTTCCTTCGGCTTCAGAGTTGATGACTGCAAGATATGCGTTTTCGGCAGCACAGGTCATATAAGCTCGAGGCCAGGTACGAGGGAACTGATGGAACTTGTAACAACTGCCGGTTCTATCATCCAGAAAGTAAGCTGAAAGTGCAGAAAATCATCAAAACGTGAGATCCTAATAAAGTATATTAAACTGAAGAAGATGATTCCTACAAACATCATTATAGAATTGTAGAAAATGAAAGTACATTACGAGTACCGACATTACATTCCCATTACGTTACCTTTGCTAAAATATTTTTTCTAAAATGTTGGTATACGTATAAAAAGTGCATGTACAGTCGCATGTTTAGTAATGACATGCTTTTTGAAGATTGTTTTGAAACGGAATTTGCAATTACAATTAGCCTGATGTATCCCACTCCTGATCCTGAGCTAACTGGGGGCCTAGTATGAGCTCTTAGAGCAAACCTATTTAAGCCTGTAAGTTGAATTGTCTATCGAATTCGTATTATGACCTCACAAAAACAATTTACTGTCCATGAAGTTTACGTTCCCCATTCGAAATCCGATCACCTTTTCTTTCAGAGCAAAATTGTATCACGACGTGCCATAAGCAATTCAAAAAAAGTTACTCCGTGACTAACTTTTTTAGATTTTGTTACATTTTTAAGAAATTTCATTTAAGTTTTATTGTATTTTATGTTTCATAATTATTTGTTATCTTCAGCTATATAGCCAATTGTCAATAAATAAATACTATTCAGCGTTATTTGAAAATTTTAGTTCGAGTTCCCAATCTTTAAAGGATTGTTGATAAACTATTGATATGAATGTTGTTGCAATTTTTAAATGGAATTTTAATCATTTTAATAATTTTATTGACCGAAAATCGTAAAATAACTTTTAAACTGCCTCCGTGGCCGAACGGTTGCCATGCCGGACTGCCACGCAGAGGTCCCAGGTTCGATTCCCGGACCGGGAGAAATATTCGTATGGCCTACATTTATTTCTCTTGTGTGTGGGTAACGTGGGTATAATTTGTGGCTGTCTATGTGTGTGTTCATGGTATCCGCGACACAGGGTTTCCCTGGTGCGGGGCTATGTTGAGTGTGTGCGTTACTATTATTATAAATAGTGCCAAATTTTACTTTAATGCAATCAATGAAAATGTACGAACACAAGATACGTTCCAATTTTGTTATAAAATTACAAACTCACCTTATTCATTTCAATGATAATAACTAGGCATAACATGTCATTTTCTCGTACGACGAATTGTAAAGTATGATTGAAAAGTTGCTGATATTACAAAACAAGGTAGTAAGTATAATCAATAATAAAATTAATAAAAAAAATTAATTATTCTCATTTTCAACACAATCGGTTAATAGTGCTTGAACGCTTCCAGGATAGTTCATCTGTCTATTTCTTTGATATGATTTAGTATGTAGTTCCATCTCGCTGTTAGCTAGCCAGCCAGAGACAATAATTAACGTTTAAAAAGTAAAACTCATCATCTTGTCATGACATTCCCGTTCAACTTTGTGTAGGTCATGATACGAATTTAAGCAACTCAGTTTTACCACGTCAAGTGAATTGCAAGGAACATGAACAGGCTTATAGCTCATAGTAGCCCCCCTGGACCCAAGCTTTATCGTAGGCGTCCAGTTCGTTACGCCATTCGCTTCTCGGTTGGAAGTTGAAGTAAATTATATTAAAAGATTTGTCACATTTAGTCTATGCATTATTAGACAACATTCACTTACATGAATCCCAAGTGTTGCACACATTCAGTTTTAAGCCAGGGGCATCCTTCTTATAACATACGTACGGGAAAGTTCTTGTACAATTCCTGTCAGAGAAAGAGCCATTTCCATCAGCCTTCATTATTATGCAACCTTCTTCATCATTACGGTTGTCGGGCTCGCCTTTATTCCAGTCCTGAGGAATCTTAGCAAGAGGAACACCTAAACGACATAAAATCCAAATTACAGTATAAAGTTGCGTAGTATAAAATAGCTCCGACAGATGGACGATAATATTTTTGTGCCAAATTGTACCTTCCACGGAAAAATAGTCGCCTCTAGAGAATATATAGTGAAGACCCGTATAAATTCCATATACACTGTTCGTTGCAAACGTTAACATTACATTTTTGAGTTCTGAATTCAGAGGAGTCGCTAGTTTTGATCCTGTAAAAATAACAAAATTTATAACGCGGTCACAAAAAAGTCACCTTAATAGGAATGTTCTAAATTCACATCACCATGTAAAAGAACACAAGATGGACAGATAGATAAACATTTTATTTATTGTAATTATTAATACAAAGATCGAACGCTTAGAAAACATTTCTTCATTCCGGCCGGATTTGAACCGACGTCTTCTAGCAAACCGTGCCAGACGCTATGCCAACTAAGTCATGAAACGAATCAGCGGACCTCACGAAGTTCTTTCTCTATGTGCTGGTTTGTTGGATCTTTTGTATTTGGTTTTCAACGACTTTTTAGCTGTAGCGCCATTTATGAGAAATCTATAAGAGTACTGGGGTGGAGCCCAAGCTTACGTCTAGTTCCCTGGTGATGGAAAGGGGAAGGCGGAATAAAATCGTGCAAATCCATCGCCCACTCTCTGTGATATATTCTGCAGAATACCGGTAAGCAGGCAACTTTAGGGCGGTGTTCAAGGCACTACAGTTTTGCCTCTACTGATTCTGACTCACCTATAAGCCTCTTGCCTTGTCAAGGTTGTCAATAGAATCCAAGCGGCCAGTCGGTATTTAGCAGAGCCATCCCAAAAGTGGCAGCAGTACTCCATACACGACCGGCCTTGTGTTTGGTACAGCTGAAGCAACTGTGCCGGTGTGAAGTAACTCCTCACCTTGAATAGAATGCCGAGCTTCCTGGCTGCATTTTTGGCCTTGTATTCTATGTACCTATATGCCGAACTTCAAACTGGGCGACAGGTCCATAAACAATGTGTTTTTTTAAGTGGGACGGTATGAGGGAATCCAAAAATATAGGAGATACAAGGAAACTGTCTTAGGAAGCATCCAGCCTTTTTTTGTGAAAACAATTTTGGTATAGTAAATTTTTTGGTCAAGCGTGTGTTGTCCATAAAAATAAATAAAATTAATTACCTATTTTTTTTAGTGCTGATCGACTCAATTTCATGTAAAGATTAGTTCTTGTATTGGGAGAAAAAACCAGGACAGCAAAAGTTGGTCAAATTTAATATAATGTTTTTTTCATATCATCAATACCATCTCAGCCCGTTAACACACATTGCTGGGTATAGGCCTCCTCTTTTGTACGCCTGCTCAATCGGTCCTGTGCGAATCTCATCCACAATCTTCGGGCCACCCCGACGACATCGTCTGACCATCTAGCACGTGGTCTGCCTCGAGGACGTCTCGCTCGGGTACCGGGTACCAAATTTACAACATTTTTTTAATGATTAATGAAATTATTCTTACATGCAACTAAGTCGATCAGCTCTATACAAATCAATTTTATTCATTTTTATGGACAACTCGCGCTTGACCAAAAAAATTTACTATGCCAAAAAGGTCTTTGTAATTGAAAGCTCTATGTGGTCACCACCAGGCACACGAAACTTGTTCGTCGCGTCACTTGATATCATAAAAAACCTACATGTGTAGGTACTAACACAAACGGAATAACAAAGTTTGTTTATTTAAAAGACTGCATCTTTTATTGTTATATTATGACGTAATTAGAGAAATGATTTACCTTCCAGATGACATCTCAATCTTGCCTCTCGCCAGTTAGCTGGTATTTCGTGATACTTAAGGAATCCCTCGATTTCTTTATAGTATTTATAGTCAGGTCGAAATCGGATGGTATCTGAAAATGATTTTAATAGCAGGAGAGTTCTGTTACGGGGCGGGTCAGCAAAGTTTAAAAAAAAACTATTTTTAAAACACTTAACTTTATTCTCAGAAAGAGGTCTATGCCTCATGCAAATCCAGTTCCATCTGCCTGCTCCGCGCATGCCCGGTTGCACGCATTTTCGGTTTCCTATTGCATTGACGTAAATATAATGGGAAACTTAGCGGTTTTATTTTATATTTTAACCCATATAATTTCGGATATAACAACCCCCCGTTAAGATCGATCGTCACATCTCAAAGTGATGAGAGATTTCAAGATCAACGCGAGATGAGTCGTAATTGGATTTCCATTTGGCAGACAGTATACATACGAGTTACATTCATTAGAACTGAAACTAATTATGAGGAAATTAACTAAAGATACTAAGAACTGAAAAAGATTAGAACTAAAGATTAGAAAATATTAGAGTATACAATTTTATTAAATTTCGTTAATTGTTATGATATTTAGAAAGAACAATGTTTCTTTTAGTAGGGGTTGTAGTTATTTGCGCAGCCTCCTCTAAAGCCTCAGAATAATTTCCTTCTAAGGATCTCCGTGAATCTCCATAAAGTATAGACCATCATATACAATATAGGATTAGAGTTAGTTTTAGAGTTATGACATTGATTGAATATTTGTATGCAGCAAGACGAATTAGACTTAAAAAGGGCCTTGCGACATTTATACAATATATATATAATAGGGGTTAAAGTATGAAATTGCCGATTTGTACTGAAAATCTAAATTGTTTATTTTTTTTATTTTTAACAAATTTATTTAATCAAAATAGTTGCCATCTATACATTGCTGCCATCTAATGGGAAGGTTGTTAATGCCTTTGCGATAGAACTCCGACGATCTAGACTGCACAAACTGTGTGAAAGCATTCTGTACTGCCTCCTGGGAAGAAAACTTCTTGTCACGTAGATAATTGTCCAAATCACGAAAAAAATGGTAGTCCGTTGGAGCAAGGTCTGGTGAATACGGAGGATGACGAATGGTTTCTAACTGCAGTTCCTGAAGGGTCAAAATGGTTTCTCGTGCTGTGTGAGGTCTCGCGTTGTCGTGGAGCAATAATGGTGAAGATCGATTCATGAGTCGGGGCTGTTTTACTGCTAGTTTTGTCAACATGGTTCGGAGTTCGGCACAATAGACATCTGCCGTTATTGCTTGACCAGATCGGAGAAAACTATAGTGAATAACACCATGCTGAGACCACCAAACAGTTACCATTACCTTTTTATTGGTAAGTTTTGCTTTAGGACACTGTTGTGGCATTTGACCTGGGGTCAGCCATTGCATTTTTCTTTTCCGGTTATCATAAAGAATCCACTTTTCATCACATGTTACAATTCGATCCAATATTCCTTCATTTCTGTACCGGTTCAACAAGGCAACACAAGTTTCAACACGCGTTTCTTTCTGCAGATCAGTCAAACCATGAGGCACCCATTTTTCGTATTTTTTTATTTTATTGATTTGACGCAAGTGAGTCAATATTGTGGGTAAGGTAACGTTAAACCATGCCGCTAATTCCTGGGTAGTTTGACTAGGATCGGCTTCCACTATCTCTCTTAATTCATCGTTATTCAGCTGTGTGGGCGGTCTTCCTCGTGACTCGTTCTTTAAGTCGAAATTTCCATCACGAAAGCGTTTAAACCAAAATCGCACGGTGCGTTCATTAGTAGACCCCTCTCCAAACGCAGCATTGATATTGCGGGCTGTTTCTGCCGCGTTAGTTCCGCGTCGGAACTCGTATTCAAAAATCACTCGAATTTTCGCAGTATCCATCTTTCTTGTCTAAATTGAATAACAAAAACAATTGAAAGTCGATATTCAAATGTTTCAAATTTAAAAAAAAAAATCACAGAAACCATTTGAAAAAAGTTTCATTCGAAAACCTCAAACCATGAAGATTCTATGAAAATTCAAAGAACCTATTGCAATAAAACGGCAATTTCATACTTTAACCCCTAATCATTAATATTAAAATTAAGATACTAATTATTGAAACTTAGGGACATAATAGTGAGTGCCATATCAAAATGAGAAAGATTTTCTAATTTATTAAGTCTTCTTCAAAAGAGTTAAGATGGAGTTAATGAATCTAAGTTATTTAATTTAGAATATGGTAATCAGTTTAAGGTTTTGTTTAACCTTGACCTGTTACAACAGTCATCTTGTACGGTATTAAACTTGGATATTTTATTTGTTACAACACCGATTAACGTTTCGCCTATGGCGGTGAGCTGTAAGGTTTTAAAAAACGCTTTACAAATTTTAGGCAGTCCTAAGATGCCAGTCCCGAATAAAATGACATCTGAACTTACATCTCTGTTGTCACAAGTTATATGGCACTTCCCTGGTTCCTTCTGGACATAAGCAAAGCGATTAAAAGATAGCTTTTGAAATAAATCGATTAAACCGTGTATCAATTTCGTCACGTATATTTCTGGAAGCTTATTAACCACTTCATTTAAAAGAGTCGTTTCGCACGTGGGATTGGCGATCCCTGAAAACACATTTGAAAGTACGCACACATAACATTTTTCGCACTGATAACCTTGCACTTGTTGACGTCATTTATCGGTGAGTAGAACATGCGATCAGCTGTGATTGCTACGTGTGAGCTACTGGTCTCGATAAGACAAGTGTCAGGTTTCGATACGTCATAAGGAATGGGCAATGGGATTATATTATATAAGTTATGGATTTGTGGAAGTACGAGAGGAATCTTAATGACTATTATTATTTTATTTAAGTGATAATAACAAATTAGTTTGGAAATATCAACTATCTTTTGTATGTTTCTTAAAGTTAACGATATAGGTAGTTCGTAATGGCTAGGAAGGTTATTTCTATTTTTATCTAATTGGTTATACAATTGATGAGGACTAAGCACGGTCGGATGTAAGACATTGAGTTTTGCGAATAGAGCAGCGTTATTAATGTCATCAATATCAAAAGATAAGGTTAAAATAATTGCATCAAAAGAACTTATTAGGGTAGTAATTAAAGACTTAATTTCTAACTTGTCATTTGAGTTGGAAACTGTAATTAAGGTTTCCATATTCTTCAAGAGATGTTTTTCATTTTCATCTAATTTAGATATAGAATTGTTAAAAGACGAAATGGTAGATTTGATAACGTGAATATTATCTTTCATGAGACGGGCAAGATGTTTTTCATCCATCTGTGAGTCGTTGATGGCTTTTGAAAGTTTAGTTCTGTCCTCGGAATCTAAGGTACCGAAGAAGGTTTTTAATACTGAGTCACCTAAATGAAAGAAACTTCTTTTGAACCGCTTATTAGGTTTTTCATTTTCTAATACATAGGATACAGACTAGAATTTGTTTATATTTATAAGATGTTGATTTCTTAGCGCACAGAGTGAATTGGTGCCAGCAGTTTGTATTTTAGAGGTACAGAATACACTTAATTTTTCAAATAATAATTCGACATTCTCTAAATTAGGTTGGTTGTACATGACTTACATCTATTTATGCGATAATGTTCCAATCGTTATTAGTAAACTTAACATCTAAAAGCTTATCAAAGTAAAGACCCGGAATGCTGGTTATTTACGTTACATATTTTAACTGCCTCCGTGGCCGAACGGTTACCATGCCGGACTGCCACGCAGAGGTCCCAGGTTCGATTCCCGGGCCGGGAGAAATGTTTGTATGGCCTACATTTATTTCTCTCGTGAGTTTGGGTGTAATTTGTGGTTGTCTATGTGTGTGTCCATATCACCCGCGACACAGGGTTTCCCTAGTGTGGGGCTATGTTGAGTGTGTGCGTTATTTATTTATTTATTTATTTATATTGACACGTGCTTGACGGTAACGTCCATCTGAAATAGATAATAAGCGCTAGTCAGCTATTACATTACGATTATTACTTGTCGCTTGCGGGTTTGATTTCATCATAGTGATGACGTACGTGTTTGCGATTAATAAGTAAGGTGACCGAATGATTATCATTTAATTTTATTATTCTGTACGGAGCTTTCCACACCGGTGATAAGGCTTTGTTTTTTTTGTTGTGGCAGCGGACATATACCATGTTTCCAGCGTTATAAGATAGAGGCTTGATATGTGAATCATAGTGCGTTTTACATTTTTGTTTAGAAGACTGTATATTTAGAAGGGCTTTCTGACGACTGTAATAGAGTACCAATAGAGTAGAGAGAATACCAATGCTGGAAGGTAAGTAGGGCTTGTAGCCGTATAGTAATTCTAAGGGTGAATAACCTTTTGTGCTATGCACATTGGAATGACTAGGGATATAAAGACCCCAAGTGTGTTGATTCTCCCCGATATATGACCTTAAATAGTCTTTGAGAGTAGAGTGGTTCCTCTCGAGGGCTCCACATGTTTGGGGATGATAAGGAGATGCAAAGATGCGTTTGATGTTAAATAATTTTTTTAGTTTTCTGAAAACGTCAGAGTAAAAGTTTGTACCTTGATCAGAAATAATAACTTTGCGGATGCCCATATGAGAAATATAAAATACTAGTGACTTAGCTGTTTCTTCAGCGGAACAAGATTGCATCGGATACGCTTGAGAGAACTTGGTGAAATCGTCTTTTAAGGTGAGAATAAATTTGTACTTATACTCGTGAGTTTCAGGAAGTGGACCGATGAGGTCGATAAAAACGTTACGTTTACTCGTCTGTTTAGTTTAATAAGAACAATACAATTTGCAACATAGACACCCTCAGTTATGCAATGGTCTAATAATAGATCTTCATTGTTTTGGTAAAGCTCGTGCGAGAAATTAGACACCGCGCACTCGATTACGGCTTCGCTTTGAGCGGGAATAACATGTGTTGACTGGATATAGTTAATGTCCAGAATTTGTCCATAAATATTTAATAATTTGAGTTGAATTTAATAATTTATTTGAGTCATAGTTGATGCTTGCTTTAAAATTTCCAAAAAAGAAACTATCGATAATTCTGTAATATTCTAAGTTTACGTCATAGTTAACAACATGAAATTTATATGTATAGGTATTTAAATGTAATATAAAATCCATTTGAAAAGTACCTAAAGTTTCTGAGCAAGATTCAAACTTTCTTTATTTTGGTAGACATTACGTTTTTGTTAATAATGGTAATAAAAAATGAGTAATTATAAGAATTGTACATATAACTAAGAAATAGTTAAAATAGTT